GGGGGCTTTAATTGTGCTTTTCCTGCATAAAGGCAGGAGGGGGTTGGACTGGATGGCCTTTGGGGGTTCTTTCTGACTCTAGGGTCCTATGGATCAGGAAAGTTCCCCTTTATGGTTGTTGTTGTTGTTGCGTTGTGGTTTCCTTTGACGGTTGTCCTTTTGCAGCAGGCGGACGAGACGCTGGACTTTGAGGAGCAGATCCTGGAGGCGGCCAAGTCCATCGCTGCGGCCACCAGCGCACTGGTCAAGTCCGCTTCGGCCGCCCAGAGGGAGCTGGTGGCCCAAGGCAAGGTGAGTGACCAAAGGCGAGAAGGAAGGCCATTGGATTAAACTGCAACACTCAGAAAACAGAGGAATTCCAGACAAGAAACAATCAGGGCCAGCTCACACCTCCCAACAAAGCATTCACTCTAACCTAGGAGTCTGTATAACAACTCTGGCGAAAATATGAAGTTTGGAAAAAGCCTTTGACAACACGCAGTTTTCCAATGAATATCTCACTGGGTTGTGAGTTTTCTGGGCTGCCTGGCCACGCTCCAGTAGCATTCTCTCCTGACATTTCACCCACATCTGTGGCAGGCATCCTCACATCAACTCAGTGATTCCGGCCATGAAAGCCTTTGACAACACACAGTTTTCCAATAAATATCTCGCTGGGTTGTGAGTTTTCTGGGCTGCCTGGCCACGCTCCAGTAGCATTCTCTCCTGACATTTCACCCACATCTGTGGCAGGCATCCTCACATCAACTCAGTGATTCCGGCCATGAAAGCCTTTGACAACACACAGTTTTCCAATGAATATCTCGCTGGGTTGTGAGTTTTCTGGGCTGCCTGGCCACGCTCCAGTAGCATTCTCTCCTGACATTTCACCCACATCTGTGGCAGGCATCCTCACATCAACTCAGTGATTCCGGCCACGAAAGCCTTTGACAACACACAGTTTTCCAATAAATATCTCACTGGGTTGTGGCGAGTTTTCTGGGCTGCCTGGCCACGCTCCAGTAGCATTCTCTCCTGACATTTCACCCACATCTGTGGCAGGCATCCTCACATCAACTCAGTGATTCCGGCCACGAAAGCCTTTGACAACACACAGTTTTCCAATAAATATCTCGCTGGGTTGTGGCCAGTTTTCTGGGCTGCCTGGCCACGCTCCAGTAGCATTCTCTCCTGACATTTCACCCACATCTGTGGCAGGCATCCTCACATCAACTCAGTGATTCCGGCCACGAAAGCCTTTGACAACACACAGTTTTCCAATAAATATCTCGCTGGGTTGTGGCGAGTTTTCTGGGCTGCCTGGCCACGCTCCAGTAGCATTCTCTCCTGACATTTCACCCACATCTGTGGCAGGCATCCTCCGAGGTTGTGACCATGGAAGCCAGCCGTGAAAGCCGTCGACAATACATTGAGTCTCAACCCATGCAACATAGTTCATGGCACAAAAACAACGTTTCTGGAGTAGGGCAACGCCTTCAGGAGCGCACCATGCGACAGGACATCACACAGAACATTTCCCAATTTTTGTGACATAGTGCAATTCTTCTCAATCGATTGTGCATTACTATATTGCATTAGATTCGAGTCCATATGGTCCAAATCTCTTCTTTTGCAGGTTGGGGCCATCCCTGCAAATGCAGCCGACGACGGCCAATGGTCTCAGGGACTTATATCTGCCGTGAGTACCTCGCTCTTCTCGCGCTTGTTGTAGTTGTTGTGTTCTGTTTACACTTACACAACACTATATTTGCAACATCAGGGAGCCATTCAATATTAAGTGATGCACAGGATTGAAAACGTTGCTTTTCAGACATTAAAGCATCAAAGCATGGCTTCATAGCGACGTTAGTTTGGTGGAGGAGGAGGATGACTTGGTTCATGTGCCGGCTCATGCTCAGCCACATGCTGTGGCCTCCTGCATTGTCGCAAATTGTAAGGAGCGAATGAGACACTTTGTAGCTTACTTTTGTAGCGATAGTCACATGGTGTTAAAAAGTGGAGGGAGGAGGAGGATGACCTGGTTCCTGTGCCGGTTCATGCTCAACTGCATGTTGTTCATGTGCCTGTTCATGCTCAATTGCAAAGGAGACACTTTTTCGTTTAGTTTGATCTATAGTCTCCTGGCGTAGTTAAATAGTGGAGAAGGGGGAGGATGACCCTGTTCATGTGCCGGTTCATCCTCAACTGCATGTTGTTCATGTGCCGGTTCATGCTCAACTGCATGTTGTGGCCTCCTGCTTTGTTGCAAATGATAAGGAGCAAAGGAGACACTTTTTTGTTTAGTTTGATCTCTATAGTCTCCTGGCGTTGATAAATAGTGGGGGAGGGGGAGGATGACCCGGTTCATGTGCCGGTTCATGCTCAACTGCATATTGTTCATGTACCGGTTCATGTTGCAAATGATAAGGAACTAAGGAGACACTTTTTCATTTAGTTTAATCTCTATAGTCGCCTGGCGTTGTTAAATACTGGAGGGAGGAGGAGGATGATCCTGTTCATGTGCCGGTTCATGCTCAACTGCATGTTGTTTATGTGCCAGTTCATGTTCAACCACATGTTGTTGTTGCAAATGATAAGGAGCAAAGAAGACACTTTTTCATTTAGTTTGATCTCTATAGTTTCCTGGCGTAGTAAAATAGTGGAGGAGGAGGAGGATGACCCAGTTCATGTGCCGGTTCATGCTCAACCGCATGTTGTGGCCTCCTGCTTTGTTGCAAATGATAAGGAGCAAAGGAGACACTTTTTCATTTAGTTTGATCTCTATAGTCTCCTGGAGTTGTTAAATAGTGGAGGAGGGGGAGGATGAACTGGTTCATGTGCTGGCTCATGCTCAGCCTCATGCTATAACCCCTTTTTTTACAAATGATAAGGAGAGAGCAACATGGATGGCAAAGGAGCCACTTTTTAGCTTAGTTTGAGGTCTATAGTCTCATGGTATTGTTAAATAGTGGGGGGGGGGGGGGGGGGGGGGTAGGATGACCCGGTTCATGTGCTGGCTCAAGCTCAGCCTCATGCTTTGTCTCCCTTTGTTACAAATAATGAGAGAGCGACATGGATGATAAAACAGCCACTTTTTAGCTTAGTTTGATCTCTGTAGTCACATGGCATTGTTAAATAGTGAAAGAGGAGGAGGATTACCATGTTCATGTGCTGGCTCATGCTCAGCCTCATGCTGTGACCTCCCGCATTGTTGAAAATGATAAGGTGAGAGCAACATGGATAGTGAAAGAGTCCCTTTTTAGCTAATTTTATATCACATGGCATTGTTACCTAGTGGAGGAGGAGGAGGATGCCCCGGTTCATGTGCCGACTCATGCTCAGCCTCATGCTGTGGCCTCGCATTGTTGCAAATGATAAGGCGAGAGCAACACGGATAATGAAAGAGTCCCTTTTTAGCTAATTTTGTATCACATGGCATTGTTAAATAGTGGAGGAGGAGGAGGATGACCCGGTTCATGTGCCGGCTCATGCTGTGGCCTCACTCATTGTTGCAGGTGATAAAGAGAGAGCAACATGGATGCCGAATGAGTCAATTTTTGTATCTTTAGTCACATGGTTTTCTTAAATTGTAGTGGTGGAGGAGGAGGATGACCCGGTTCACGTGCCGGCTCAGTTGTAAAACAGGTTGTGAACAGCTTTTGGTTTCCTGTTTCCAGGCCCGGATGGTGGCGGCGGCCACCAGCAGCTTGTGTGAAGCAGCCAACGCCTCGGTGCAGGGCCACGCCAGCGAGGAGAAGCTGATCTCCTCCGCCAAGCAAGTGGCAGCTTCCACGGCGCAGCTGCTGGTGGCCTGCAAAGTGAAAGCGGATCAGGACTCGGAGGCCATGCGCAGGCTGCAGGTGAGGCGCGCCAACATTAAGCGTGGAGGAGGTTGGCTGGGAATTCCTAGAACGGGACCATCATGTGCATCTGCCTCCTTTGCAGGCGGCGGGGAACGCGGTGAAGCGCGCCTCGGACAACCTGGTGCGGGCGGCGCAGAAGGCGGCCTTCGGGAAGGCGGACGACGATGACGTGGTGGTCAAGACCAAGTTTGTGGGGGGCATCGCACAGGTGAGCGGCCAGGCCCCCCTGCTTCTGGATCTGATTTGAGTGCCATGTGCCACGCTCCCGACCACGGATGCTCTCGTGGTTTGATCCCCATCGAAGGCTCCGTCTTGTATGTGCGAGTGAAAGGGGGAAAATACAGTCTGACCTTGAGTTACAAACATGTATCTATCTATCTAACTATCCATCCATTCATCTGCCTATCTTTCTATCTTATCATCCATTCATGATTCAATCCATCCACCTGTCTATCCATCTAATCCATCTGCCGATCTATCTATCTATCTATCTATCTATCTATCTATCTATCTATCTATCTATCTATCTATCTATCTATCTATCTATCTTATCATCCATTGATTATTCAATTCACCCACCTGTCTTTCCATCTAAATATCCGTTCCTCTGTCCGTCCGTCCATCCATCCATCTATCTATCATCCATTCATGATCCATCCACCTATCTACCCAACTATCCATCCATCTGCCTATCTGTCAATCTATCATCCATTCATGAATCAATCCATCCACTTATCCATCCATGTATCAATCCATCTGCCTATCTATCTATCTATCTATCTATCTATCATCTATCATCTATCATCTGTCTATCTATCTTATCATCCATTCATGATTCAATTCACCCACCTGTCTATCCATCTAAATATCCATCCATCCATCCATCTATCTATCTATCTTTCTATCTTATCTGTCTGTCTGTCTGTCTATCTATCTATCTATCTATCTGTCTGTCTCTTTCATCCATTCATGACTCAATCCATCCACCTATCTACCCAACTATCCATCCATCTGCCTATCTGTCAATCTGTCATCCATTCATGAATCAATCCATTCACCTGTCTATCCATCTAAATATCCATCCATCCATCCATCCATCCATCCATCCATCCATCCATCCATCTATCTATCTATCTATCTATCTTTCTATCTTATCAT